ATATATATATATATATATATATATATATATATATATATATATATATATATATATATATAGGTTCATATGTTTTCTATAATTATTGTGTGTTTTTAGGAACCAATGAGAATTAAGGAAATAATTAATAATTAATTAAATTGATAAGGGTATATTAGTAACTTAGCTGTAATTATTTATGGTAAATAATTAAAATCTTTAATTACCTTCAAAATCACATATTTGATCCCTTAAATCATGGTTCCTTCATCCTCAAAACCCTAATTCTATATCACAGTATTCATTTGTTGGTTATCCTGATCATGTCGTTCTTCTCCCTCGACATTATGCATCTCCATTTTTCAATCAACACTGACAACAACCCTTTATCAGTCGTCGACCACTTTCTTCTTCTTCACCTGTTGGTTCTCGTGATGTTGTCGTTCTTCTCCCTCGATTTTCCTACTCGTCGACCATTAAGCAAGAAGGAAAAATAAGTTAGTCAACTTGCTTGGTAGCTGCCATTCCACCTTCAATGTCTAAAGGTCTGATTCTACCCGCTAAAATTGTTCCCCTGTGCAATTTCCAGGGTTTAGACCACCCACCATCGTCATCTTTGTTAATCACAATCGTTGACAAAGAAATTTTCCACCCTCACATTAGCCGCCATCACCAGAGCATAACTTAGCTGATATGAATTTGTTCCTTCTTCAATCCAGGTGTGGTTTTACTTTCCTTTATTTTCAGTTTTGGTTTATTTCTCAATTTGTTTGTATGATTACAAATTTCCAATCTGAGAATTCAATAATGGAATTGGACCTGTCTTATTCTGTTTTAGGGCTTGAATCCTAAGAAAATATTGAAATATTACACTCAAATTTTCTATTTACTAGTTTTGATTTTGGTAGTGAATCAGAATCAAGAATCAATTTTTTCTGTTATCAATGCTTTTGAGTGTTGCTTGTACTGTTGCGTTTTCTGAATGTTGATAATAAAATATGTCTTCCAAGTGTTTGATATATTGTCAAAAAGAGAAAGTTTTTTGTGTAAAAGAGGCAAGTTTGATATGTTGGACTTATTGGGAAGATTTTGTAAGAATATGTTAAGGTAACATGTTTATACTTGTGTTGAAATATTATGTTAGAAGTAAAGTAGATAATATTTTGTTAGAATTCTTAAGGAATTTAAGTTTAAGCAACAAATAGAAATGAAATATTAGTTTAGAATTGATGTTAATATGTGTAGTTAAAACTTGTGTGTATTCTGTCAGAATTTATTTATATAAATACATTCTGTCAAAATGTCTTTAAGAATGTTTTGTTAACAACAAGTATATTTGTTTAACTGGTAATGCATTGTAGCAGAATTACGAGTAATGCATTCTAGAAGAATTATGAGTAATGCATGTTATTTGAATAGCGATAGTATATTCTAGCAGAATAACTAGTAATGCATGTTATTAGAATAAATTACAATTGTTTAA